GAGACTTCACAGGGAGTGTGGGCCTGCCAGCACCTGAATCTTGGACTTCAGCCTCCAGAACTGTGCAACAATAAGCTGTTAGTGTATGAGCCCCTCAATGTGTGGCACTAGCCCTATCCTGGGAAATGAAGACTGGGAGCTGGGCAGAAGGGAGTGGAGAAGAAGAGGGAGTTATAGTAAAACCAAGTTGTCAAGAAAACACCTCATCCACAGTACTTGCTAGTTCTTCTCCTTAGGACTGGAAGACCTCAGCAAAGGGAAGACACAGCATTTAGAAACGACAGATCACTTTGTAGAGAAACAGTCACTGCTCTCCTAAAATTCAATTTAAATGCTGAGTTGAACAAGTTACACACTTTCTAAAGGAGAAAGCTCAGAAATCAAAATTTGCCCTGGTTATACAAAAAAAGATACATTTCCGAGAGTAGAGTACAATTCAGACTTGGAGAGAGGGTTTTTAAAATCACAGCCTTAACAGACTTGTTATTGTAATGTGTTTTTTGCTTTTTTCCCCCCCTAAAGACAGGTTTGTTTTCCTTCAGTTCTTACAAACCAAACATGACCATATTGGGTTAGTGATTAAGGAGCTCAAAACAAAATTAAGCAGGTTATTCTGTGGTCATTGTCTCTCTTGATTATTTGCTTGTCATGTTTCAAATAGCATCAAATGGCAAGATTTAAATAAAAGATAGGCTATTTAACAATACTTTATCTTCTCTTTCTAAAGTAACTGATACCTCCTCAATTTAGCATGCAATTAAATGTGCCTTTACCCAGGCCTGTTTTGGCAGGAGGAGGATTCAGGGAGCAGTATTCAATAGTTCCACCCTGGAAAAATGCCCAACCTGGCTGTCTCCAGTCACACTGATCTACGTCCAGTTACCAGAACACACAGAGATGTTGTTTCTCACTGAGGGGCCTTTGCACATGCTGATCCTTGTGCCTAGAATGTTCTCTCTACACCCACAACAAAACACAACCCTCCCCACACTCAGCTCAAAAGTCAGCTCCTCAGAATTATCTTCTGTTATCACCCCTGTACTTTTCCTGATCACATGATCTTGTACATTTCTTTCAGCACCCTATACAACCATTATTATTAATTATTTACTTGTTTATTAGCTATCCCTCCCTAATCAATGGTAACCATCAAGTCAGAGATCAGATGAGTTTTGTAAATTACTTTACACCCAGGGCCTGGCCCACAATGGGCACACATATATTTGTCTAGAATGATAAATATGCTCTTAATTAAATAGGCTGGGTGCAGTAGCTCATGCCTGTAATCCCAGCACTTTGGGAGGCCCGAGGTGGGAGGATTACTTGAGCCCAGGAGTTTGAGAGCATCTGGGCAACATAGTGAGACTTCGTCTTGATTTAAAACAATCAAAAAATTAGCCAGGCATGGTGGCATGCACCTGTAGTCCCAGCTACTCAGGAGGCTGAGGCAGGAGAATCGCTTGAGCCCAGGAGGTCGAAGCTGCAGTGAGCCATGACTGAGCCACTGTACTCCACTGGCTGACAAAGTGAGACCCTGACTCGAAAACAAATAATTTAAAAAATGAAGGCATAATATAATCAACAGTGGCACCCTGCCCCCCACCCCAAAACACAGTGAGGAGCTCTTTATGCCCAGAGGCTCTGAGTTCATCCCTGGAGCACATGGTCTATGCTCTAATTCCTGGTCGTGGGATGGAGACTTCAGGACATCACTTGTCTGCACGTTTCTCTGGGAAAGTTTCAAACTCAAAGACAAAGCCTCAGATCATGATCTGGCTTTCACAAATATGCTCTTCCTATAATAAAGGGATGTCTAGTCACATGCACATCAACCATTGTGGTACCCAGGACAGCACTTCCTCATGGCAAATTAATAAAGCAGCATTGAGTTATGATCCAGTGCCTCATGTAAGTTGACTTTAAGGAGAAAAGTAGTAAAAACACAAGCACAGGCCAAACTCAATGGCTCGTGTCTGTAGTCTCAGCATTTTGGGAGACTGAGGAGAGAGGACTACTTGAGCACAGGAATTTAAGAACAGCCTGGGCAATAGAACAAGAGCTTGTCTTTATAGAAAATAAAAATTAGCCAGGCATGACGGCACGTGCCTGTTCACAGTACAGTCCCAGCTACTCAGAAGAGTCTGAGGCAGGAGGATCGCCTGCACCCAGAAGGTCAAGGCTATGTGAGCCATGATGGTATCACTGCACTCTAGCCTGGGTGACAGAGTAAAACCCTGATTCAAAAAAAAAGAAAGAAAGAAAAAGAAAACACCGGCACAATATTTGATAACTGGCTCTCTCTTTACAAATTTAAAAAATAGCATTCTGACATTTTTAAAAAGCCTGTGCATTTTATATTTATAAAAAAACCTAAATAACTAAGGAATTATGGGTCACAAGTATTAAACAACAGAGGATATTTTGGCAATACATATACAAAATCTTTAAAATGTATATACCGCTTAACCAGAAATTCCAGTAATAGGAATGTATCCTAAGAAAATAATCATAAACGAATGTAAAAATTTAGCCACAAGAATGTTCGCTGTAGCTATTTACAATAAAAACTGGAAACTTAAATACCCATATGAGGTTGATTAGATTATTTGTGGTGCTCCCTATTAAGAAATACTCAGCAGCTTTTCTAAATGTCTTGTTGAATGAATTAATAATCCAAGACATGGGAAAAGGTTCTTCCTAAAAAGTGTTTATAAATCAATACTATAAAATATTTTAAGTATAGCTTTTGCTGGGGGAGGGGGTCATGTGTGATTTCTTATGTTTTTCTATAATTTACAATTTTTCTCTAAGAGTTATATATCACTCACATAAATGTATTTTGAAAAAAATGCATATTTAAAAATAAATTTTAACTAGTCACAAAAGGACAACTACTACAGGATTCCACTTATATTAGGTATTTGAGGTATTCAAAGACAGAAAGTAGAATGGGGGTGGCCAGGGACTGGGGGAAGGGAGAATGGGGAATTAGTGTTTAAGGGGTACAGGGTTTCGGTTTTACAAGAAAAGAGTTCTAGAGATGGATGGTGGTGACCATGAATGTACTTAATGCCACTAGACTGTACCCTTAAAAATGGTTAAGATGGTAAATTGTATGTTATGTATATTTTACCACAATTTTTTTTAACTAAAAAATTTAAATAAGAAAACTGTAAGTACAGCTAGGTCTAGAGGTGTCTCAGTTATTACGGTTTTTTCACAAGGCAGGAGTAAATAAGCCTGCACTTGACCTTGAACAACATGGCACCAAGCCATGATCCATGGTGCCCAATAGCAATGGAGTGTGTCATGGAAGAGTGGGCATCTGCTTGTTTCCTGACTGCTGGTGCGGGTCCTGCGTGTCCTGGCCCACAGAGGGCAGAGACACTCTCTAGTCTCTTCCTTCAGGGCTTGGAGTGTCCTTCCTCTCTTGCCAAGGCCCCTCAGTTGGACCTTTAGATGACAAACTTGAGCTGGCTGCCCCAGAAGCATGGCTTCACCGGAAACCGGGCCAGTGACTTCAGGGGATAGAGATTCATAACTATGTTCTCCGTAAACCACAGGTTTAGGGATTTGCCCCAAAGTCCTTCAGCTAGTAGTTGGCAGAGTCAGACAAAGAAAGAAATCTTATCTTAAAGTCAAGGCAACTCATCTCTCTATTACAGATGAAGAGGAGAGAACTGTAGTCAGCAAATCCTTCCTTGTTGGTCAAGAGGGCATCTAGAGCTTTGCCACTGAGAAAGGAGTAATACCCAGGTCCTGGTGGTGAGACCTGAGAACCCCAGGGCTGCAGAACCATGGCCTGAAGGCAGGACTTGGCTTTCAGATGTGTTGGTTTGGCCCACACTATGCTGGCCTGTACCACATTTGCAACATTTATAAATCCGTTACCAGCATTTAAAAATCAGCCAGGAGCAGTGGTTCACACCTGTAATCTCAGCACTTTGGGAGGCTGAGGCAAGAGGATGCTTGAGCCTAAGAGTTTGAGACCAGCCTAGGCAACATAGTGAGACCTTGCTTCTTTCTCTAAAAATCAAAATATAAAAACAAATTTTAAAAAATCAAAAATTAGCCAGGTGTGGTGGCACATGCTTATAAGTCCCAGCTACTCAGGAGGCTGAGGTGGGAAGACTGCCTGAGCCTAGGAGATCAAGGCTGTGGTGAGCCATGATCATGCTATTGCACTCCAACCCAGGTGACAGAGTGACACCATCAGGGTATTTCTACCTATAAAGAGATTTTTATTTTCTTGAAGGGAAAAAGTGGAAGCTCTTAGCTAGCCTGGGCCTGTACTCCAACGTGACAATTGGTTGGAAATGAGGAATGGTTACTCTTTTAGACAGGCCCTCCGCCCAGTTCAGTCTAGCCATCTGCCTACCTGGCCCTGCTGCTCCTTGAGCTATAGCCCCTCAACTGGCTTGGAAACTACCTGTGAGGGCCATGCAGTATCTGGCATGATGCTCCCTAGTCTCCCAGGGTGCCCTTGGAAGTACTCCGCGACTGCGCATCAGCCTGTGATGCAGCAGCTCCAGTCAGTGGGCTACAACCATGGTCCAGCAACGACAATGATAAGCCTGGGCCCGGGGTTCAGCCCAGTCAGAGTACAGCAATCTGTCCCCCAGGTACATTTGTATGCACTATCAAAATGCAACATTCGTCCCATTCTCCTCTTGAAAATGTTTAAAAAGAAGCCACACTCTAGAATGGGTCCATGACCATGGTGCCTCATGTCCTATCCCCAACAGAAGACAATGCCAGATGCTCTAGGGAAAGGAGTTGGGACCATACAAAGCACCCTGGGGTGCAGCAGTTTTCTTCTAATGACCACAGCTGGAGACAAAAGGGAAGCTTCCAGCTGCTCATGCTGTATCACTGCGGTGGGAGAGGGCTGCAGGTGGAGCTTAAATATCTAACAAGATCGCACATGGACGGGAAAAGGAAGCTTTCAAAGTCCTCATGGTTAGCAGGGCCAGGGAAGGATGGAGACCCATGATTCTTACCTGCAGCAGGCACGCTAACGTTATATTGAGGTAAAATAAATAGGAAGGCAGTCTTGGCCGTGACCTGCAAAACAAAGGAAGAAAGGTTCAATTGAACTTTTGGCCACATCAAAAGAAACCAGTGAAGCCTGCTACCTGCCCCAGGGCCCACCATTTCATAACTCAGAAGCACAGACTCCTCGGATGAAGGGTCCTGCCTGATGCAGAGTTAGCACTGGTTTCGGTCCATTTTTCTTTAATGACATGCCTCTCAAAACCTGCACCACAAATGAAGCAACCCCAGCCAGGATGGTATCTAGGCTAGTACTCACTGCAGATGGGATGAAACATGCTATGTTTGGCAGGATGAGAGCTCACAGTGCATGGTACAAATATGTCACCCATTCATTCATTCATCCATTCATTTAAGTATTTACTAATTTAGTTCTGAATTAGGCATGGTGACTCATGCCTGTAATCCCAGACTTAAGAAGACTAAGGAATTCTTGAGCCTAGGAGGTCAAGACCAGCGTAGGCAACATAGTGAGACCTCATGTCTACTGGCGTACGCCTGTAGTCCCAACTAGTGAGGAGGCTGAGGCCTTAGGAGGATCACCTGAGTCCAGGAGGATGAGGCTGTGGTGAGCCATGATCATGACACTGCACTCCACCCTGGGTAACAAAGTGAGACCCCCAACTCAAAATAAAAAGAAAAGAAAAAAAAATTTACTACTGGATACCCAGCATTGTGGAAGACAGAAACTAACAGATAAGGTCACAGTTGTTAAGAAGCTTCAGGCCTTGCTGAAGTTTCCCCAGCAATTCAGTTGTCTGCACACTAGACAGCAGCCCTGAAAGTCCACACCTGAGTTTCAGAAACAGATAACTCCAGCTGTTAATCTCACATCTACCCTACCATGGGGGGCAGGGCAAACTATAATGCCCCACATTGTGAGTACATTTATTTTGAAAGCTGCCTTTAAAAATTTGTTTTGCTGTGAAACTAACTGTGGCTGTCACCTGGTTATTAACAGCCAAGCCAGTACTGTGACAGTCCGGCCAGCAGGGGATGTGAAGCTTGGACTTAAAGACTAACTGCCTGGGTTCAAATGCAGGCTCTGCTATTCCCTAGCCATGTAACCACAACCAAGTGATCTTAAACCCTGAGCCTCAGTCTCCTTGTCCATAAAATCAGGGATATTTGTAATACTTCAGCTAGTCCAGGTACTACAGACTGGGGTGGCCCTGGCCTGGCCACTGGCATTGTTCAAAGCTCCCCCAAGTTTCTGACATGCAGCTGGAGCTGAGAACCACAGTCAGCACTGTGGCCGGGGAAGAAGAGGCCCAGAGCCAGGCCTTTCCTGGGGAGCCCCTAGATACAATGGGGCACTGGTTCTCCTCTACACACAGCAGTTTGAAGGATACTCGGGTGAGGGTGGGGACAAACACACTGGGCCGTGGCAAAGGAAGCATGGCAATGAGCAAATGACGCATTATAGACGACTATCACTCACACTCCAGAAGTCACGGTCCTTGGCCTATCCTACAGAGACAACCTTCTCCTTTAAAGAGCAACTCTCTTAAAGTCACAAGATTCGTCACTCTGCAGTGTCACCAACTCTGCAAGCAGCGATGCAGGACGAGCCTTCCTGCCGCCTGAGACATGCCCCATCAAGCTCACGGGGAAAACTCAAATGAGATTAGGTATGAGAAAAAGCTTGGAAAAACACCAAGCCTTATACAAACACACAGGTCTTCCCTAATCCCCATCCTAAAACCTAAACACTTGGGACCTCAACACCTTTTTCAGTGTCCCCAACCCACCTTCTGGTCCAAGTGCCGGTATTTTCTTTAGGACAGATGTGCTTGGCTTCTGTCCAAACGTTCTACTCTCTACTTCCTTTAGGGAGTTTGAGCCCCTCTCATTTTGTGTCCTACCTCTCCTATAACCCCTGCCCCCAACAAAGCTCTACTGATCAGAATCCCACTCATCTTCCTCAACCTAGCCTACCCATAACCTCCTCCCAAACTGTTCACAGGGCAGGACTTCTTCCCACCACCACACTCTGCCATGTTATTGCTCCTGTGCACATGTTCATCATTCTCATCAGGCTCTCACCTCCCTGAAAGCAGGGCCTGTGCTTTTTGTCCCCATGTGCCCCCTCAAGGAACCAGCCCAGATGCACGCAGTAAGTCCGCAGTAACCACCTATGGCATAAGATGAAAATTCAAAAGCCAAGCTCTGTTCACTCACAGCTGTACTGGTTCCCCCTTTCTAATGGGTGCTGCCTCCGGTTCCATGACCTGGCTGTCCCTTGTCATAGACATCCTTCTCTGTGAGACCTGTCTGGCTGCTGTACCACAGGAATCCAGCTCTGCCATGAAGATACTTTGACCACTCCGGGCAACTCTCCCTCTCCAGACTCTGCTCAAATTAATCATTCCTGGCCCAACTACCTAGCTCTTTCTATTGTATGCCACGATTCCTTAGAGGGTAAACCTTGTCTTCTCAGACTGAAATCCTGTGAGGGAAGATCAGAGGAGCTGGAGGGAGGAGAAGGGAAGGAGAGGGGAGAACACCAGGCAGACATTTAGCCTACCCTGCCTAGGCATAAATCTCCCACTTGGCTGCATCCAGGAAATGCACTTGTCTTTTGGACTACAGGGTGCCATGGCCTCTGTGGGTCTGGGCAGTCTAGCCTTACTCTCCCCTTCCTAACAGCATCAGAATGTCCTGAGGGAAGTCTCTCTTCAGCTGTGTATGGGCATGGAAAGTGTGTGGGGTTATTTCTGGTGACCTCCTTCCTCCTGGGGGAATCAAGAGGATAGACTCTCTCCTCAGGACAGAAGCCAGGCCAGTTGGACACCCTCTTCTGGTCTCTGGATCTTGGGTAGGAGTGAGGAAGTGCTGGCCAGGAGGCTGAGGTAGAAGGATCATCTGTGCCCAGGAGGTCAAGGCTTATGGTGAGCTAGTGATTGTGCTACTTGTACTCCAGCCTGGGTGACAAAGTGAGACCCCGACTCACACAAACATAAATAAATAAATAAATAATATAATAAAAGAAGACAGACATTTGGTATGCCCTAGTCGGCATGTATAGTCTTGATGCACAGTAGCTATGTTCTACGAAGTCACCGAGAACACTGAACCATTGCTCCTAGGAGAAATACAGGGTTAGGTTCCTACAAGCCTCTGGCCATATTTTCATCAAGAGATTTATATGTGACCTTGTTGTATGTGTGTTTCTATTAAAAGTCGCCTTATTAATATAAAGTGTCTTTTGTTGATTCATTCACGTTGAACTCATGGCCAACAGCACTATAACTCATGCCTGAATGAAGCTTCTCTAACACATGTGTCACCTCTGTAAGGCACATCACAGCAGTCCTATACTTAGGACACTAGACCGCAGTTCCACACTACACTGGGGTTGGGGGAGGGACATTTTTAAACAGGAAAATCACCGACAAAAAACACAAAGATGCAAAAGCACTAAATAGAATGTGAAGAGACCACTTGTTCAGAGGATGAGAGCTGGAACAGAAGGCACAGCATCACTGCATTCGGCCTCTCTGGGAACATGCTTGTTGGGTGACTCAAATTTTTTACAGCTCTGCACATATCTATGAATGACCACGGACGCCAGGTATTGACTTGGGGGTTACAAATAAATGTCAGCAAGTGAGTGAATTCACAAAAACAAAATCCATAAATAATGAAGAGCAAATGCATTAGGGCAAACCAAAACACCAGTTCCATGAGGGCCATGATTTTTTCTTTTTTCACAGCTTTATTAAGGTATAATTTGTACACCATAAAATCACCCATGTTAAGTATACAGCTCTAAAGGGCTTATCTTTATTCTTAAACTGTCTCTTCCTTCAGGGTAATGTAAGCTGTAGGAAAGTAGGGATCTGACCTGTCTTGAGATGATCTCACCTGCCTTGTTGGAGGTGTGTACTTACAGCCCCAAACAGCGCTGAGAGCAGAGCAGCACTCAGCAAGCACTTGTTAAGTAAACACAGAGACTAGTCAGGAGAGACAGCATTGTGCTTGGCGAACTGATTCTCTGCCCACATTGATGCTTCTGTGCATGTCCTCTGTCTCCCTGGGTTTGACCCAGAACTGGACACACAGTAGGTATCTCACCTATTTGATGATATCCTACTATAAGCAGCTCTGATATTCAGTCACTACAGATGAATGTTTAACACATGTTTTCTGAACATGATTCTGAGAGAACAGGATCCAGGATCCTAATTAAGACAAAAACACAAGATTCCAGTATTTTTCCATCCCTACCCCCTCCAGTGGCAGCAGAAGCCATTCTGAAATGTGCATCTTTCCTTGTAAACAGCTATGCTTGCTTCTACCTCACCGTATCTCAGCAAGATGGTGTCAGTTTCCCCCAGTTTACAGATGTAACAGCTAAATTTGGAACACAGGTCTCCTATGACCTCACAACTATATATGCAGGAGAGGCAGCATTCAACTTGACTTTTTAAAACTTGCTCCAAAAACAAACAGGAGACACACAATATTGCACACAGAACAGAATGATAATATAAAATGGAGGAGAGAATAAAAAAATATATATTTTGAAGCTAAAGAAAAGAAGCAGTCACTAAAAAAGGAAGGAGTGGCAGCTCCTGAGTTCACCATATCTATTAATTTAAAAAGCAAAAAGCACTAATCAAAAAGAATGACCCTTTTTCTCCAGCATAAAAACCACTCTCTGCCTTCCAAGTTCCTTTGGCACCCCAAATCATCACTCCATGAACTCTCCCGACCTCAGACCAGAATGAAATCACTAAGAAGCCCCTCTCTGCAAGTACCAGTTAAGTTCCTGTAGCACAGGGAGCTGAGAACCAGAAGCCTATTCAAAATGTCATTCCAATTATTTTTCATCCCTCTAAGTCTGTTTATAGGAAACATTATTGAGTTTAATAGCATTTTAAATGCCAAGCTCAGTGGGTAAAAGGTTAAAAGTGACAATGTGCTAATACACTTAATGCAAAAGGAGAACACTAAATTATATAGGAAGGGTTACATCACACTCACACACATATTCTCTCTCTCTCTCTCTCACACACACACACACACACACACACAGAGAGAGAGAAAGAGAGAGACACATGGGTACAGAGAGAGAAAGCTTCATTAAATTTTTAGCTAAAACAAGGCATCAAACACAAAGGCAGGGGCCTTGAGCACGCCTGTGTAGCCATAACAAACCCAAACTGTTTCACATGCCATGTTGTATTAGGGGCACATGAACCTGAGCTCTTGGCTGCAACTATAAGGATGCCAGCAAAATAGCTGCTTCCAGCTAAGCATAGTGGGCATGGATTCTAGTTCCAGGGCTGCTGTGGGCCAGCTGGTTGACCTTGTGTAAGGGAGTACACTTCTCTAGACCTCAGTTTCCCCACCCCTTGACAAAAACAACAGCTACAATGATTGCTATTGTTACTGAGTGTCACTCAATGCCACGCATGGTTCTGGGGGCTTCAACATACATTTATCTCATGTCATCCTCACAAGAACCCTATGAGATAGGTGCTAACCATGTCCCCATTTCACAGATAAGTATGGAAAGGACAAGGCCAAAGGAGATGCTCAGAATGAATGTCCTCACCCTCAGCTTCAAGACTCACATGACCTGACTCCACTTAGTGTTGAATGCCTACAACAGTCTTACACTGACAAACTTTCTGAGAGGTCTTTCCAAAAGTGTAAAATAGACTGTTGCTTCTCCACCTTGTGAGGGTGAGGTCCAGGCATCAACTGTGTCAGACAGAGCGAGAAAGTAAGTCCTCTCCACTAACCCACGACTCACAGGCCACCTGTGCTGGGCACACCTGGGCTCCTGAAGGCCCAGTCCATTCTCCTGTCACTGGGAGTTGCTAGCTGGGCATCAAAGATGAAAGAGAAGAACTGCGATAAAAGCAGTCTCATCACTTCTCTTTTAAGTATTAAATCCTTTGGTTCAGTCTATTGTTTTCTTTCTTGGCTAGCACTGGCACTTGGAAAGGGCCATGTGGGCAGACCCACCCCTGAGGGCAGGCAGGGTCTGAGGGCCTCATTTTCACAGAAGCAGTCTCTGAACCCAACAGCTTCTGTCCCATGGATACTATTCTCCAACCTAAGGAGCGAAACGCAGAGTTGCATGTGTTCCACAACCAACAGTGAGGACACTCATTTTTTCTTCTTTAGAAGCACAGGATAAAGCCAAACATGTGCTGCTGAGGCTGCAGAACGAGGCACTAAAGCCCCCCTCTTCCTCAGCTCAGCCTGCTCTCGGGAGCCAAGGGTCTCCACTCAGGCTTTCCCAAATTGATTTTGCATCTTTCTGCAGAGGCCATGGATAGGAAAATTTCAGTCAGACAAGAAAACCTTGGAAAGTTACGCCCAACTGGTGGGGAATAGTTGTGTTTTTTTTAAAAAAAAAACAACAACAACAAGAGTCTTTTAGTCTTTTCTTTCTGGAGGTTTT